TTCTACCACTTGAGCCACAGAACCACTTCCAGTTTTCTGGTGGTTAATTGGACATGAGTTTCACAGACTTCCCTTGTCTGGACTGGCTTTGAACCACAATCCTCAGATGTCAGCCTTCTGAGTAGCTAGGATTACAGGCATGAGCCACCGGGGCCCAGCTCCTACATGGATTTTGAAAGGAGCCTTTGAGGTTGGTGTTGGTGGGTTTTTGAAATGGTATCTCACTGTGTGATCAGGCTGGCCTGCCTCAGCCTCCAGAACCCTGAGATGTCCCTCACCTGTCTTTGAAGGCTGGAAACTTGTGTTTGCCTAGGGAAGGGCAGCTTCACTGTGGGGGTACTTTGGGGGAGATAACAGGTTAAATGTTGTGAGTGTTAAGTAGCATGCCTAAACTGTAATCTAAAGGGCTGGGTGTGGTGGAGTATGCCTGAAATATCCAGCTGTGTTTCTCCAGACAAAAGCACAGAGCCTGGGGTTGGAGGTGAGGCTCAGGTGGTAGAGTGCCAGCCAATGAGCAAAGTGTCACCTACTGAGTTTGAGTCCCAGTCTTGGGTGGGGGGTGCAAGGCCTCTCCAAGAGGGCAGCATGCCTGCCTAGTAAAGCTCCAGGCCTGGGTTCAGTCCCAGGGCTGCCCCGCCTCCCAAGAAACAGGACTTTGTGAGGAAGTATTTTCCCCAGCGGCTGTCATGTTAGTCTTAAGTGTGTTTGGAGCCGCCTTCAGTTGTGTTAAGTTGATGTTCAGCTCCTGGCTGCCTGTCAGCTGCTGTTGAGGGTGTCTGCCTTCCTCTAGGCACAGAGGCCCGATGTGTGACCCCAGCACGGAGGGGGCTGGGGTGGTGCGCGCTGCATGAGGCCGCTGAACATGCGGCGCCTGCCTCCCCTTCCCCAGGGCACAGCGCCCCCTAGGGGCCAACGCAATCCAGTGACTTCGCCATGGGCAGAACCCGGAGCAGCCACCCTAATGCCCATGTCAGTGCCCACTGCTCTGCCTGCCAGCCCCTTCCCCACACCTCAGCATCATGAGCTGTGCTGTGTGCACAGGAACTACTGACAGCCCGCTCGTCTTTCAGCACATTCCATCACGTGGTCCAGGAGACTCGGATACTGACCTAGCTGGCTGGACCGTGAAATGCGGGCGGCCACTGACGCCCCTTTCTCCTCCAGGCTTCCGGGATGATTTCCTCGGAGGACGGGGTGGCAGCCGCCCCGGGGACCGGAGGGCGGGCCCTCCCATGGGGAGTCGCTTCCGGGATGGCCCTCCCCTGCGTGGATCCAACATGGACTTCAGAGAGCCCACGGAAGGTATGGTGCACCCCACGGGCATGGGTGGGCCCCAGTCCAGTGCAGCCACGTGCCTGAACTGCCTTGTTCTCTCCCCAGAGGAAAGAGCACAGAGGCCTCGGCTCCAGCTTAAACCCCGGACAGTGGCGACGCCCCTCAACCAAGTAGCCAACCCCAACTCTGCCATCTTCGGGGGGGCCCGGCCCAGAGAGGAAGTCGTCCAGAAGGGGCAGGAATGAGCTCGCAGTTGGGAGGGAAGGGGGTGTGGGGAGTTAGAGCAGACCTCAGCCTGGGGGGCCTGGCTGCCCTCAGCCACCATTCCTGAGCCTGACACCGCCCTCCTCCCTCGCGCACAGGAACAGCTCGAGCTGCACCAGCTGTTAACAAGTGGTTTTTAGTAGCTCGCCTCGCCCTGCCTCTGCCCTGCCTCGCCCCGCCGTGCCCACCCTGCTAGCTAGCGCCCTGCTTAATTCTTCCCTTCCTTCCTCTCTGCCTCTCCGTACATCTTCCTCATCTCCATCTCTGTCTCCCTTCTCCTTGCGGCTCTCTCTGGCTCACTCTCCCGTGCTTACGTGCTGCGGGGAGGATGGCAGGGGTGAGCAGTGGGGCCACTGTGGGGCCTTCCTTGTTCTGGGTGCTTCTCCAACCGCATGCTGAGTTCTGTGTGCCCGCAGCCTCCAGCATAGCGGAGGCCCTGGTAGGTTCCCCTGCCCCTTTCCTGCCCCGGCTGTCACCCCCAGTCTCAGCCAGAGTCCCGGGGCTGCCTAAGCAAAGCTGCCCTCGCCCCGCAGTAAGACCTCGGGGGTGCAGAGTGTGGATGCCACCCAGCACGGGGGCTTGGTCCCTGCCCCTCTGCTCCCCCACGGGGTCCAAAGCAGGGCCCCCGGCATGGAGGCCCTCCCCTCCCTCAGCAGCAGTGCCCCATCTCCTGTGCTCATTACTCCTACCCTGAACCCACCGCCACCCTGGGCCTGGAATCTGGCACTCACCTGTCAACTCGGTGAGCTGAAGGTGCTGGGCACAGTCCTCTACCATGGTACTGGCCTGTACTACCAGGAGGAAGCTTGAACACCTGTGTGAGAACAAATGGAAAGTTCTGTAGTGCCTGAGTCCTGGGCTGTGCCAGTGGGAACAGGTGGAGTTCACCCTGGCCCTAGAGTCTTAGGGGAAGAGGCCTGGTGCAGCTGGAGGCCGTGGGCGCCAGGGGCAGTGTGCTTCCGTGGTAGCTGCCATTGCCAGGCTTGGCTCTTGTTTGTCTTTGTTGCAAGGTCTCAGCAATTTCCAGAACTCTCTTCCTCCTCCCCCTGCCTTTTCCCTCCTTCCTTCTTTCCCTCCCTTCCTCCCTCCCCTTCCCTCTTTCCTTCCTTCCTTTTGCTTGCCATCTTTTCTGCTTCTGAGATAAGAACCATTTGTGTAACACCAATAATTAACTTAAGGAAGACCTGCATTATGTGGTTGCAATCAAACCTGATGCTTTCAGATGCCCTACTTACATCTCCAGTGTGGGAAAGATAAGAACAAATCCACCCAAACTTCCGGCCTTCCAGACGGCCTTTAAATGAGAATGGAATTCCAAACACTTAACACATTCAGTGCTCTGACAGAACGTAGATCTATGGATATGGTATTTTGTGAATGATCTTTTAAATAAAAGAGAACCTTACGTAATGTTTAATGCTGTTTCTCATTGTGGAGTTTTCTGGCTGCTGGTGGTGACATTGAGTGCTGTGGTCATTGTGGGGACCTGTGTCCTCACTGTTCATGGAGGTGCTCTTACTGGCTGTGCATCTTGTGGCACCCTGGCCTGCAGCCTCTAGGGGGCGCTGTGGGTGAATGTCACAGTGTAATGTATCCAGGGGGCACTGTGGGTGGCCATCACCATGTCCTGATCACCATCCCTGAGCCCTCAAGTCATTTATTACTCAGTATCTGACAGGGATGTAAGTAAACATGGAAACTGCTCCCCAGAGAAGTCCACATGGCAGTCCCTCGCAGATGTTGGCCCCTGGGGTCTTGCTGCAGGCCAGGGAGTGCCGGGGATGGCACCTGCGCCTCAGTGGCTTCCTTGTAGCTCAGAATGCCTTGCCTCTGTGTGTGTGCCAGTCATGAGGCTTGGGCTTGGGTCTGGGGGGCTGCCCCCGCTCAAAGCTGGCACTTTACCACTTGAGCTTCAGCACCACACTTCTGGCTTTTGTGTAGACTTCCTGAGTAGCTGGGATTACAGATGTGGGATTACAGATGTTGTTATTTTCTAATATACCAGAATTTGAGCCCAGTGCTTGGTGCTAGGCAAGTGTTCTACTACCAGAGCCAGCCTCCAGCCAAATCTGTTTTTTAATTCACAACCATAGAGATGAGACCTGATCAAATAAAACGAGCAAAATCCAGGTTGTAGAGAAGTAGAAACTGCCCAGATAGAGGTCAGTGCCCCCTGGATAGGGGTGGGGTGCAGAAATCAGGAGCCTGTCCTGGCGTGTCTGCCTGGTGGGAAGCCAGGCAAATGGTCCCAGCCAGGAGCACTGGGTTCCAGTGGCCTTCGTGGACCCCTTGACTCATTCCGTCACTACGGATGGCAGTACGGGGCTAGACCAAGTCCAGGTCCCATCCCTGTGGGATCCAAATCCTCCCCAGGCTGTGACTGTCTGTCTCCGTGGGGTTGGCAGCAGCAGGCCCTGGCAGCCATCCTGGGCAAGGGCTGGAGAAATATTGTCGCATGGGATCCCCATGCTGGGACCTGGGCTCTCTTCCCCCGCCACCTGCCCCTCCTCGGTTGTGAGGCTTGAACTCTGGGCTTGGGTGCTGTCCCTGTGCTCTTCAGCTCAAGGCGAGCACTCTACTGCTTGAGCCACAGCACCACTTCCAGTTTTCTAGTGGAGATAAGAGCCTCATGGACTTTCCTGCCTGGGCTGGCTTTGAACCGTGATCTCAGATCACGGTCTCCTTAGTAGCTAGGATTACAGCTCGGGACCTGGGTTCTTTTTTATTTATTTATTTTTGGGTCTGGTTGTGGGGCCTGAACTCTGGGCCTGGGCGCTGTCCCTCAGCTCTTCAGCTCAAGGCTAGCGCTCTACCACTGAAGCCACAGCGCCACTTCCAGCTTTTTCTGTTTATGTGGTGCTGAGGAATCGAACCCAGGGCCTCATGCATGCAAGGCAAGCGCTCTACCACTGAGCCACCTTCCCAGCCCCATGGACCTGGGTTCTTAAACAATGACTTAAAGCAAGTAGAGGAATGCTGGTGAGCTGGTGAGCACTGGCCTCCGGTGGGTGAATGCCCTTGGCAGTTGTCTGGACGGTGCTAGCACTGCACTCAGAGGTGTGATCACTGAGCTGTCGCACTCACACAGACTGCAGCCGGCCCTCCTCCAGGTCTCCTGCCCTGTGACTGGCTGTCTTCTCCAGCTTTGGTCATTTGTTCCATCCTGGGTGGTGTGCATGTGCTGGGTGTCCCTGTGTGTCACCAGCTGAGGCCCGCTCCCAGGGTCCCCCTCTCTTCCAGCTGTCACCGCGTCTGCCCGGCTGTGCTGTGCGCTGGTGACCCCCTCATTCTCCTTCCGCCCAGGATTTTTGTGGCCCTCCCCTGTCCTCTGCTTTCTCCCCAGGGAACTCCCCTGTTCTTGGCCCTGTCTCCCTTTGCCCCTCCCCTCCTCCATCACTGGCTGGCCTGTCCGGTGAGCAGGCGGATGTGGGTTGATACAAGAGCCAACAAAGCCACCACCTCGCCTGCTTCCGCCCCAGCCTGCGGCGCTGGCCTCAGCAGGCAGGTATGCAGGCGTGAGGAGCCCCCACATCTCAGGTAAGCCTTTCCTAGGGGTGTCAGGAGTCTGGGTGAGGCAGAGGTTCCCAGGGGTCCCCTACACCCCAGGAGCCTTGGCCGAGGTGCCTGTGCCAGTGTCTGGGCCCTCTTGGCCCTATCACGCGCAGGGCCACCTGCTCGGGGGTCAGGACACTCAGCAGTCCTGGGAAGCCCAGGCCCCCCTTGGCAGCTCTTTTTTTGGGGGGGGGTCCAGTCATGGGGCTTGGGCGCTGTCCCTCAGCCCTTCAAGGCTAGTGTTCTACCACTTGAGCCACAGCACTACTTCTGGCTTTTCTTTTTGCTTATGTGGTGCTGAGGAATCGAACCCAGGGCCTCAGGCATGCAAGGCAAGCGCTCTACCACTGAGCCACCTTCCCAGCCCCTCGCCCTGCTTGGCGGCTTTATCGCACTGTCTCTTGCCTAGGGCAGCTGTGCCAGGCCCTACCTGGTCAGTGGAAGGACCTGGCCCATGCCTGTAACTAATAGGGTCTGAGCAGGCGGCAGCCACAGCCCCAGGGGCTGCCTGGCTCTGGCCACCCCAGCCTCGCCATCACCACCATTGGCTTGAGACAAGGATTGCCAGGTCCCTGCCCAAGCCTTGTCCCCCTGGCCATCTGGCTACCATGGGAGTTACCTGGACAAAATTGCAGGTTCCAGGACTGATGGTACCCCAGCCTCTGCGAGAGATTGGGCCCCAGTTTCCCCATCTGCGCTGTGGAGTACAGCACAGTGTTACAGGTGGTTTCTGAGGACCCTCCAGGCTGTTGCTGGGCCTGGCTGGGCGCCTGCACCGAGTCAACCTTGCTCATAAGAAAACTGCACACTTCCCCCCCAAGCTATTTTGGCCACAGAACCGCAGGACTGTGGCAGCCGTTCCCCTTCCTCTGCCAGCCCCTTGGGGCCTTGCTGGGGCCCCTAAGCCCCAAATTCTACTCCTTCAGCCCCTTTCTCTCAATCCAGAGAGAGGAGAAAGGACAGTGATGAAGGTGATTTATTCAAGTTTTTTTGTTTGTCGGTTGTGGGGCTTGAACTCTGGGCCTTGGTGCTGTCCCTCAGCTCTTTAGCTCAAGGTTACCACTCTAGCGCTTGAGCCACAGCGCCACTTCGGTTTTTCTGAGTGGTTTATTGAAGATAGTCTCACAGTCTTTCCTGGGGGGGAAGGAGGGAGAGTGGTTTTGAACCGTGATCCTCAGATACCATCTTCCTGAGTAGTTAGGATTACAGGCGTGAGCCATAGCACCCAGCTAATCAGTTTTATGTTGAATTCTTTTATTTGAAGTTTGAAAGGAAAGAAGTGTGGCATTTGCCCTCAGCCTGTCCTGTGCAACATAAATGCATGTGTGTGCACAGCTGCACACACACAAGTAGGCATACCACTTACGGGCTTGAACTCAGGGCCTTGAACTCTTCCTTAGCTTAATAGCTTTTTTTTTTGGTTCAAGACTGGCACTCTACCTTTGAGCCCAGCACCACTTACAGGTTTTTTTTTTGCTGTTGGAGATCAGAGGCTCATGGACATTTCTGCTGGGCTGGCTTCAAACCATGAGCCTCAGGTCTCAGCCTCCTGAGAAGCTGGGATTATAGGCATGAGCCTCAGTGCCCAGCCTGTCTATCCTGGGTTTCAATCCTAGCACTGTATGAACTTGAAACACCTCTCTCAGCCCAGAGTCCCACCCGGTCTGGCCACCATTCTCATCCCCAGGTGACAGTGCAGGGCAGTGTCACTGTTTCCCCTGACAGACAGTGTGGGTCATCTACTTTGCTTGTGTTTTTATGCTGGTCCGAGGGCTTAAACTCAGCCTCAGAGCCTTGTGCTCTCCATCAGCTAGTGTACTATCGTTTGAGCCACGCCTCCACCCTGACTTTTGGCTGACTTTTCTGCCACCATTTGGTTGGCAGACAGTGGCTGGAGGATGTGTGGGCAAAACCAGGGTTGGGGGTGAGCAGCTGTGGAAGAGCTCATTGGGCCCAAACCTTCCAGCAGGTGCAAAGCATAATAGGGGCCGGGCTGGCTGGCTGCGCCTAGAGCACCGTGTGACATTGCAGGTGGGACCCCAAGTCAACATGAGCGGGGACACAGAGCTGCTGTGGCTGGCGGCAGTGCTGCTGCTGCTTCTGGGGGCCACCACTGGGCTGTGTGCACGCTGCTTCCACCCAGGTAGGGGCCACGGGGCCAGGGCTGGGCACAGAAAGCAGGGTGGCTCTGTGCTACCCCAGGGAACAGGGGTCTGCTTCCCTGGGGACCGCAGTTCTGCTGGGTCACGGGGTCTCTCGGGTCAGAAAGTTGCTCTGGGCAAGGAGGGGATTCTGCTGCCCATGACACCACCTTTTCCAAGCTGAATTCTCCCTTTTTGTCCTCCCTTTCCCTACCCTCCTCTCTTCTGTTTTTTATTTTTATTTTTTGTTGGTCATGGGGCTTGAACTCTAGGCTTGGGCACTATCCCTGTGCTCTTCAGCTCAAGGCGAGCACTCTACCACTTGAGATAAGGGTCTCACAGACTTTCCTGCCTGGGCTGGCTTTGAACTTCGATCCTCAGATCTCAGCCTCCTGAGTATTACAGGCGTGAGGATTACAGGCGTGAGCCACTGGCACCCAGCTTGGTTGTTTTTTGTCTTTGATTTTTGACATGGAGTCTCACTGTGTGGCCTGGGCTAATGTCAAGCTCTCAATCCTCATGCTGTGCCCCAGCCTCAGTTTCCCCAGGTCAGGGACACTTGCTAGTGTGGACTTGTTTCTGCAGGGGTGAAGAGGGCAGAGAAAATCTACCAGCAGAGAAACGTGTGAGTGGACTCCTGTCCCCAGTCCCGTGTACTTTTGTGCCTGGGGAGCATTGCCCCAGGGACCCCCCTCCACACCCCCCAATAACACCCACTCCATGGTAGTCGGGCTGGGGAGAAGGGGTGGGAGGCCAGGTCCCTCTGACTGCAGCTGGGGCTCTTCTGTATGTGGGGACAGGAGAGGTACACAAGGCTAAAGGGGCTGGGGGGGGGCTGTCCCTAGGGAGGACCCTGCCCCCACAAAGCACCGAATACCCACTCAGAACACTGCCTAAAATTACCCAGGTGTCCACACAGCATGGTGCGATCTACTACACACCTAGTGGGCACACACACCTACCTATGGGGCACACCAAGTCACTCTCACCCCCTTGCTCATTTCCTTTTTCAACTGAAAGGGCATGATGAAAATGGGACTTCCCCACCCCTGCCCGCCCAGGGCTGGCTGGAGCTTTATGGCATTTCTTTTAACCACTGCCTCTGTCCTGTCTCTGGTCCCCTGTCCCCTGGGCCCCTCTTGTCTTTCTCTCCCTCCCACCCAGTGATGGGTCCTAGATAAACCCCAGCACGTGTGCAGCATAGAGGAGCTGCCCTCTGTCCCCTCCCCAGGCCTTTCCTCCCCCATCTCTCAGCTGACACCAGGGTCTCCACTCTACTGCCTCAGACACCAAGCCCAGGATGCCATGCGTTCAGTGATCCCCAGCTCCTGGCAGGCTGGGCCAGGCACCCATTCTGGTCCAGGGGAGGGGCCGGAACCCTGCTCTAGTAAATAGTCAACTGGCAAGGTAGCTTCCATTCTCTAGGGCAGAATTCTATGCAGTAGAAAGACAGGACATAAGTGGGTCCTACCCCTGTGAACAGATTCCTTAAAATCTGACCACTGGTATCACATGGCGACACCTAGGTACAAGGCATGCTGGGAAATGTCTTTTAATGGGGTACTGGGCTACGTGGATAAAACTCCATTCCATGCTGGAGATGGGTGTGGCTGGCAGCTGGGGTCCAGCCCAAGGCCTTGTCTTTAGAGTGGACACCTGGGTGGAGGGGCCCAGGACACAGAAGCAGGGACCAGGGACCCCAGGTCTAAACCGCCTCCTCCCCCCAGTCCCTTTGGTCCCTTATCCTGGCTCAGCACAGTACCCCCCTCTCCCCTTCGTGTTTCTAGACAGGGACATGGTGAAAGCTTCGAGGTGGCCCAGACCTTTACCTGTGAGTCCCCCTCTCCCCGCTCCCAACGGCCCAGGGCAGGGGTGGGGTTGGGTCCCTCATGTTCCCTTGCTCTGAGGCCATGGGCCAGGCCTGATAAGGTGAAGTGACAGGTGAGGGCCAGGCAGGCCTGGGGGGCCCAGCCAACAGGTGCCCCTCATCTTTGCAGTGGTCCAGCAGGTGTGTCCAGGGCCCCTGAAAGAAGCGGCAGTCCCCAGGTAGGCGTGGTCTCCATCTTGGTTCATAGGGGTCAGCCCACAGGAAATGAGGGGGGGGATCTGGGCCCTGCAGGAGGCTGTGGACTTGGGGGCCTCTCACTGTGTCCCCTCAGCTCCAACCCACACCCCACAGGGAGAACGAGCTGCAGCTCTCCTGCTATGAGGGTGAGTAACACCTGTTGGGGCGGGGGGGGGTGGCCCATGCACACACATGCACAAGCACATGTGCACACACAGCAAGGCCCTTGCACGGGCTCTGGCCACAACCAGGTGGCAGTGGCAGGCCAGGTGGTGGACAACTTGAGTCTGTCTTCTAGATCCCAGCTCCCTCAGGTACCAGAACTTCAGCAAGGGTGTGTGGTGGGGATGTCCTCTCCCAACCCCCCCCCCCATGCAGCCCGGGAGCCGGGAGCTGACTTCTGCCACCCCATCCTCCAGGAAGCCAACGGGAGCCTGATGCCACCTACATGTGAGTGGCTTCTCTGCCTTGTCCCCTCCTGCCCAACCACTACCACCCTAGCTCCTGGAACTCACGGGGACTGCGATGGGGCCCTGCTCAGGAGAGGGGGGCCCTTTGGGAAAACAACTCATCCCACATCATCCAGAGTCAGGTTACAAGCAGGCCATGGTGCTGATGCCTGTGGTCTCAGCATCCAGGGGGCTGAGATAGTATGATCTCTAGTTAAAGGTAGTAGGCTTTTTTTCTGTCGACAATGATGATAGCCTGGTGCCAGTGGTTCTCATCTTTAATTCTAGAGGATCATGGGCAGAAAACTGAAGAGACTCCATTTCCAAAATAACTAGCGACAACTTGGCTAACATGGAGGCACTAGCCAAGCAAAGTGCCAGATCCTGAGTCTAAAGCTTGGTACCAGGGTTGGGGTTAGCTCAGCAGAAGAGCAAGGCTCTGAGTTTGGTCATCCCCTCCGAAAGGGGGGAAAAAAAAGCCAAGCAACAAAAATGTTATGGGGTGCCCAGCTTGGGGTGTCTCTTCATTTTACAAGTCGACCAACTGGCTGTCACCTCACCCCTCCCACACCCACACTGGCCTGCCCAGTGACCCATGCCGTGCTTTCTTGCCCAGAGAATTCATGGCGGCGGATGATTACAACTGGGGGCGCTTGCAGAAGTCCTGGGGAGGTGAGGCGGACAGCATGGCTGGACATGTTGAGGGGGATTGGCCCAGGCCCAGGGGTCATCAGGTGTATGGGTGGGCAGGGCAGGGGGCATTGCCAGCCTGGAGGCAAGATGTTGATGGAGGACAGGAGCAGAGGGGGATGGGGCACCTTGCACCCCAAGGCCGGCAGCTCCCTGGGGGTGCATCTGGTACAGGTTGTTTGGGCACCAGGCCCGTGACACCTGTGCTTTACAGAAAGGGAAACTGAGGCAGTGTTTTTCCATGCAGGAGCTGTGGCTTGGATCTGCCTTTGGGGAGCCATAGCCCCAGTACCTGTGCACATGACCTTGGGGTTCAGGGTTGGGGACCACCAGGCCTTCACTGGGGCTGGGGGAGTGCTGGGACCGACAAGGCCCTGTGCGATCTGTGCTGCCCTCTTCCCTGACAGTTGGCAGCAGCGATGGCAACTCCTCTGATGGCAACTCCTATGAGAATGTGCTCATCTTCCAGCCCAGAAGCCCTGGTCCAGGAGAGCTCTCCATAGGAACACAGGCCGGGGAGGGACCAGGTGGCCGTCCATCCCCACTGTGTCCCACAGATGGAGAGGAGAGTGACTACCAGAACTCCACATCCATCTACCAGTGGCATGAGTCGGCAAGGACCTTGGGTAGGTGGGCACAAGGCTGGCCTTCGTAGGCTTCTCCTGCCAGCCCAGCTGATGCCATGTGAGGCCTGGTGCCCCAGGGGTCCCCTGAGATGCTTGGCCTCTCAGCCCAATCCTCCAGGCGTGGCCTCCACAAATCCCAGACACAGATGACCTGAGCTCTGTGCTATGCATGTGACAGCCCCCTCTCCTTGCAGGGCAAGTGTGGGGTGCTGTGTGCAGGATCCCAGCAGGAAGCCCGGACAATGATGAGCCAGATTATGTGAATGCCTAGGGGAACGGAGAGAAGGTAGGGCCAAGGGGGAGCACACAGGACCCCACACAGGAAGAAGGAGTCCACCGGCTCGCAGCTCCAAGCCCCTGAGGGGGACTTGCTGTGGGGACACACAATGTGCAAAGCACTCACACATGTGTGTGCACGCATGCGTGCAGCACTGGGGCTTAGACTCAGGGCCTGGACACTGTCCCTCAACTTTTGCACTCAAGGCTAGTGCTCTACCACTTGTGCCACCTCTTTAATGGTTACCTGGAGATGAGTCTCATGGACTTTCCTGCCTGGGCTAGCTTCAGACTGTGATGCTCAGATCTCAGCCTCCTGAGTAGCTGGGACTTCAGGCATGATTGTAACTGGGTCTTCTTGGTTGAAGGAGCTGGAGGATCCAGGAACTCCAGGGCCTCCAGGCCCTGCCAGACTCCTCTGGACGGGCACCAGCATACCTGAGCTCACCTCGCACAGGGAGACGAACAGCCTGACGCCGCCACCTCCTGCTGCTGCCCTGGGCCCCTGGGACTGGAGCCTGCTGGCTCATGGCTCTCCCTGTGGTGGATGCCTAGGTCAGGCTGCATGCCACTCCCCAGGTCTAAAACACTGACAGTGTTGGCACTTGTCTGATCTAGGAACACGATTCTCCCATCTGTCTCCCAGTAGCTGGAATTACAGGGATACACCACCACAGCCACCCACCCTGTCTGCTTTTGTGCTTTAAATCTCAAATTGTTTCACTGATGTTGGCCGCTGGAAACCAGCTTGTACAGCTAACTTGTATGGATGGATCGTTATTTAAATATCAACGTAGGGGAATCTCAGCACATTTCTCCTGCTCCTTAACAAGCGTTACCTGAGCTCGGTGGGCTGGTCAGGGAGCTTGAGTGCTCCTGAGCTCTTCAGGTTTTATTGGTAGGTGGTGCTGGGGACTGAACTGGGCCTCTCATTAGGAAGAAAGTGTCAGGGCCCCTGGGCTGGGCTGGGCACAGGCATGGAGGGAAGGAGGTCACTCCACTGACCTCTACAAACTACTGCTTGGGGAACAGGAGGGGCCCAGGCCCCCCAGTCCAGCTCTCTTCCTGGGACACCCCAATTCTTTCCAAGAAGAAAAGAGTGAAGTAGGAAATGTGAAGTCCTGCCCTGGAGCTGGGCCCCGGCACAGGTCCCAGATACATCTCCCCTCTCCCCATGCTGGACAGCGTCCAAGCAGAGGCCAGCCTTGGGGCTGTCTCTATTTGAAAGATGGGGTGACATTCTTCCACCTTCCAGAAATGAACACTGAGGTAGGTGTCCCAGTGTCAGAAAAACGATACCCTCGGGTCTTTGGCCTAGAACTTACTCAACTCCAACCTCTCCCTCCTGACAGCTTAGATGTGTGCTACTACATCTACTGTGCAGTAGATGGTGTGTGTGTGTGTGTGCGCGCCTCAGTCCTGGGGTTTGAACTCAAGGCCTGGGTGCCGTCTCTGACCTCTTTCAAGACTAGTGCTCTATCACTTGAGCCTCAGCTCTACTTCCAGCTTTTCGGCGGTTCACTGGAGGTAAGAATCTCATAGACTTTCCTGCCTGGACTGCTTTCAAACCTTGACCCCCTCCTGCCCCCATGTGCACGTGCAGAGCCGCAGTCATGTGGCAGGGGGCAAACGGCTTTATTAGGTAAAAGGCTGGGGAGATGCCACCCACTCGGCAGCCACCACCAGAGGCCCTCCGTGCCAAAGGACTGTGGGACTCCAGCACCTCAGGACAAGGACTTTGTTTGGAGACAGGGTCTTGTGATGTAGCCCAGGCAGACTCAGCACTCCTGATTCTCCTTCCTGCACCACTCAAGTGCTGGGATTACAGGCATGTGCCATGACACTTGGCTGGAGGAGGATGCTTCTCATTGACCTGTGACTTTGCCATCCTAACTGGCCACTGGAGCCATTGTCTTCTGACACAGCCTTGCCAGGAGCCCAGCCATCTGCAGGAGGGAGTTCACACCTTCTGCCACTTTCATGTGTGTGTACCCGATTTCCTGAGAAGCAGACCGCAGCAAATGGCATCAGTAAACCAGCCTGGCATCATCTGAGCGAAGGCTGTGCTCCACAGAAGTACAACCAAGCTCCCTCCCAGCTGGAAAATGAGAGCAAAGGAGAATCCTGGAAGGATAATGGTATTTCTTTAAAAGTATTAAAAAAAGAAAAAAGCTAGGCAATGGTGGCTCACACCTGTAATCCTAGCTACTAATAAGGCTGAGATCTGAGGCTCATGGTTCAAAGCCAGCTTGGCCAGGAAAGTGTGTGAGACACTATCTCCAATAAACTACCAGAAAACCAGAACTGGCATGCTGTGGTTCGAGTGGTAGAGCACTAACCTTGAGCTTGAGGGATAGTGCCCAGGCCCAGAGTTCAAGCCCCACAAAAAGCCTAGGTTAGAATATCTACAAAATATATACCTGAGCCAGGTATGGTACCACATAGCTGAAATCCCAGCTACTGAGCAGAGACTGGACGGATCATGGTTTGAGGCCAGTTTGAACAAATGACCCCAATCTCTTTTTTAAAAAATGGTTGAGGGGCAGGGAAGGTGGCTCAGTGGTAGAGTGCTTGCCTTGCATGCATGAGGCCCTGGGTTCCATTCCTCAGAACCATATAAGCAGAAAAAGCCAGAAGTGGCACTAGCTCAAGTGGTAGAGTGCTAGCCTTGAGCTGAAGAGCTGAGGGACAGCACCCAGGCCCTGAGTTCAAGTCCCATGACTGAGAAAAAGAAAAAAAAATTGACAATACTGAACTAGATGCTGGGCAGGCAGGTAGCTTACCACTGAGCCACACTTCCAGCGAGACCTACATTTCTACCAGAGTCTGGGGCATGGTAGTACACCCATGTACAGAATCCCAGCCACAGTCCTTGTCTGGGCCTGAACCCAAGAAAAGCAAAAAGCAGTGGGGTGGCTTGTGTAGGAGAGCACGGGGCTAGTAAACCCCATTCACCATGTGTGAATGTCTGCAAAAGAGGCAGCGAGGCTGGGGACAAGCATCCTGGGTGTGCTCAGACCAACCTTGATGAACTCCAACTTCAGGTACTCGGCCATGGGGAAAGTTTTACACACTCGGAAGATGTTGCCAATGATGTCCTCAGGGGAGTAGCCCAGGTGCCACAGGTGTGCCAGGATCTAGGCAAGAGGGCATGGAGAGACATCACGGCACCAGTGCCAGCTCTACCAGCCCCTGGCTTCCCCCTGACGGAGGCCTGGTGAGCTCACTTGGTGCAGCGCCTGTCCCCATCCTCAGGAAGGAGGGCAAGTGATGATTAGAGACGCCTGCTTCCGGCCCAGGTCCACATCTTAAAGCAACCGTGGCAAGGAATGCGGAGTCCCTGACCTCGGGCAGTGCCTACCGCACAAGCCCGGAACCCGGGGAAGGGCCGGGTGCTGGCACTGACCTTGTATGCCTCATCAATGTTGGCATCCACGCAGTGCTGGATCATCTCCTTCACCAGCAGCGGGTGGGGCTCATCACAGACCTGAGGGGCCCAGGGGGCGTCAGGGATCCGAGGCTGACCCACCCGTCCCCTCCCCTCCCAAAGCAGCTCCACCCTAAAAAGCTGACAGCAGACTCAGCACTAGCACCGGCCATCACAGATGGCCTGGGCCATGTGCAAACAGCCTGGAGGCGTCGGGCTGCTCTGTGCGCCTGGTGGTGGTGCAGGTACCCGCTCTCCCTGAGACCCCAAAGTGGCCCTCAGTTCTAACTAAGAACCCCCACTCTCCAACCTCTGCCCATGGTGCCACACACCCACCCTGGCTGGCGCCATGGTACCTGGCTCTCAGTGGCTGCTGAGGTAAAAAAAATGGCCAGAATCCATTGCAGCGGTTGCTAGGCAACCTTCTGGCAACAGGATTATATACCAACGTGGTGACTTTTTTGGTAGGTTGTGGGGTTTGAACTCTGGGCCTGGGCGCTCTCCCTTAGCTCTTCAGCTTATGGCTAGTGCTCTACCACTTGAGCCACAGCGCCACTTCCATTTTTCTGGTGGCTAATTAGAGATAAGAGTCTCGCAGACATTCCTGCCCCAGCTGACTTTGAACCATGATCCTCAGCTCTCAGCCTCCTGAGGAGCTAGGATTACAGGCGTGAGCCATGGGCACTCGGCTTAAAGTTATAGACCACTCTTGGGGTTTTTTTGGCTGATCGTGGGGCTTGAACTCTGAGTGACTTTTTTTTTTTGAGACAGAGTCTCACTACACAGCGCAGGCGACTCGCCCTGCGTGCTGGGATTACAGGAGCCCCCATCATGCCCGGCCTGTGAAGTCCACAGAGCCCCCAGCGCGGCTCTGCACCTTGAATACATTCTCGCTGTTGATAAAGCCAAACCCGGAGAAGGTGGACTGCAAGTTGTTCAGCGCCTGGGGAGAAGGGGAAGCGGTGTGAGCCCCACGCACTGCCCCGTCCACGTCCCTGCTGCCCAGCCCAGTGCAGTGCCCCGTCCACATCCTTGCCGCCCCCAGCATGGCGCCTGTCTGCACCTGCCGCATGTCCCCTTGGGCCGTGAAGATGATGGCCTCCAGGCCGTCGTCGGTGTGCGGCACCCCTTCCTTCTCCAGGACGCTCAGGAGCCGCGCCAGCACCTGGGCGTCAGTGAGCTTAGTGTAGCGCAGCACCGCACACCGGGACTGGATGGGCTCTGCGAGGAGAGGCAGGAGTGAAGGGGGTAGGGGGGACACGGAAGTGAGACACCATGTGTCCCCAACTGCACAGCCTCCCAGGCCTGGGGACCCCAGCCCAGTTCTTTGTGTGCTGTGCAACTCCAGACAAACCAGCAACCTCTCGGAGCTTCCCCATCCCCCAGTGCTCCAGGTATATTCAGCAGAGGAGCCTCGCCTGACACACACACGGCCCAGGGGAGCCCGAATCCCAGGGCAGCCCACACCCACTCACCGATGATTTTGTCGGAGGCGTTGCAGGCCAGGGCGAAGCGGGTGGTCTTAGAGTAGATCTCCATGGTCCTGCGCAAAGCCTGCTGGGCCCCATCTGTCATGCTGGGACAAACACACGCCACCATTGTCACCTGCAGCCAGAACCTGGGACAAACCTTCCCCCCCCCAGCATGACCCAGGGCCCCCTGACACATCCACAGCCCTGGACAGCACCACAGCTACAAAGAAGGTCACAATGACCTGGGCAAGAGACTGGGAAGGTGGCTCAGTGGTAGAGTGCTTGCCTCGCATGCATGAGGCCCTGGGTTCGATTCCTCAGCACCACATAAGCAGAAAAAGCTGGAAGTTGCGCTGTGGCTCAAGCGGTAGAGCACTAGCCTTGAGCTGAAGAGCTGAGGGACAGCGCCCAGACCCAGAGTTCAGGCCCCATGACCAACAAAAACAATCAAAAAAATGACCTGGGCAAGGTGCATACAGACCATGGATATGGCAGAACAACCTTCCCAAACAAACCAAAACCAGTCTGCTGCCAGGCATGATAGTGTACACCTGTAGTCCCTGCCAGGAGACTGAGAGGACTGCTTAAACTGAGGAGCTCTGAGGTCAGCCTGGACCACTTAGGGAGATCCTTATCTCAAAACATGAATAAAAACTATATCCAAATAAGAAAATACTAATGTAGCTCAAAACATTAAAGAAAAACCAGGCCAGGGGCCCGGGGCTCACGCCTGCAATCCTAGCTATTCAGGAGGCTGAGATCTGAGGATCACGGTTCAAAGCCAGCCCGGGCAGGAAAGTCTATGAAACTCTTACCTCCAATAAACCACCAGAAAACCAGAAGTAGCGTTGTGGCCAAAATGGTAGAGTGCTCACCTTGAGCAGAAAAGTGCCAGGACAGCACCCAGGCCCAGAGTTCAAGTCCCTCACGACTGACCAAAAAAAAAAAAAA